CGGCGCCTTTATGGCAGCAACCGTTACTCGGACGTCAGTCTCATTCCGCAAACCCTCCCCTCCGCCTCTCGCCATAACTCGCTGGCGAGCGGGCCCGGCGGCCCTAGAGGCGGCCCCTCGCCGCCCCGCGAGCGCGTCGTTCACACCGTCACCACCCCGCCGCGCCAAGCCACGCCACGCCGCCATCACAATCGCCGAGGCGAGGCTTTTCTCCCCCGCACCCTCCCAGATACTGCGGGCGGGTGGGGGCGGGGTAAATGATGGTAATGCTCGCCCGGCGGAGGAGCAGCCCCGCCAGCCCAGCCCAGCTCCAGGAGGCTCGCCACCACGAGGCAGCGACCCCGCGACCCCTCCGGCCCGCGGGACGTCGTTGGGCTGCTTACCTAAACTGGGCGTCTCCTCGTCCACCTGCAGCCGGAAGTTCTCGCCGCGCCTGGAGAAGCGCACCGTGTGCCACTGGTCGTCGTTGAGGCCCTCGCCGGACACGAGCGCCTGCGGGAGGCAGGGTGGTTAGAGAGGGAAGAGTACAGTCATTGTTCCTAAATTCGGACTTGCGCCCTAAATTCGGACATTGTGCCGTATTTCACTATTGTCGCCTCCAAATCCATAATGTGTTGACAAAATTTAACTTCTGTGGGTTTGATGGGAAGGTAAGACCACCAAGTTTCCATTTCTGCCAAAAAAATTAATGTGGGAGTGATATTGCTCCCTCCAGAAATTCCTGAAATTTGTATTTTTAGCCCCCTAAAACAGGCGTTTTTAAATGTGTCTTGCAAGAATTTGGGGCTCCGAACAGTGTAAGCCCGGGTTATTCTGACCACAACATATGTGAAATTTGGTACTTTTATCTACAATATGACACCAAGTTTTTGATTTTTCGTCGCACAGTTTAGTTTTGGGAAGCGTTTTTGCAATGCGCCCTAAATTCGGACATAGGCTTTTACATGCAAAAGTGACAACTGTCCGAATTTAGGGCACGTTAAAAGCGATCTTTAAGCAGTTCTAGCGACTAAACTTTACCAGATAAGAAAATTTGGACGGTAGGGTACGGTCAAATTTTTTCATAAAGTTTCTACACCCCCCAAACAAATTTCACTTTTCATAATTTTTCAAAGCTGTCCGAATTTAGGACGCATTGGTTCCTAAATACGGACACGATTCAAACAGCCCTCACCCCTATACCGTTAGCGCGAAAAAATATTTTCGGAGAGTGGTAGGTGCGTCTCGACGTGAGGATTGTAGAATCCCCAGCGATTTTTCATATTTCAAAAATTCTAGATGTCACAGGCGTTTTTCCTCAAAAACCGTCCGAATTTAGGGACAATGACTGTAATGCGACATCGTATGTAGATGACGGAAGGTGCACTCACCTTCTCGCGGTCGCCGAGGCGCACGGTGGCGCGCACCCGGCCGCCGCTCAGCACCAGGTCGAGGCGGTCGGCCGTCTGGTCCGAGCTCGT